CTCAGGACTCACTGCCTGACCTCAAACTGTCTCCCAGCCTGCCATCCCTGCTCAGAACTGGCCTTCTGGTGACTCAGCCTGAGCAGTTCTAGGTAAGGGATATAAATAGCACTTACTATCGAGGCAGCTATCTGCCTCAGGCATTTGTGTCCCAATCAAGATTGTTGGTTTGTCCCTGACTTCCCTCAAGGGACTGTGGTTTGGAAAGCAAGTCTTACCTCCTTTAGCTCAGTGTGATTGTGTGGAAGAAGACATGACTGGATATGGCTGTATGAATGTATGGAAGCATTTTCTTACATGTTATGAGGCAAAGTATATAACACCATTTGCTCACAGTTTCTACTTGTGTCCACACATAGGCGCCGACTCCATGGGGCTTGAGGGGGCTCGAGCCCCCTCAAAAAAATTTTGGGGGGGGCTCAGCCCCCCCAATAATCTCGGGCGCCGGGGGCGGGGGCTCCTGCCTCGCTGCTTCGCAGCACCACCGCCACTGCCAAGGCACTGCCGGGGGGAATTTCCTTCCTCCTGGCGGTTTCAGCCCCCGCGAGAACAGGGGAATCCCGACTGGCCACACCTCCCAGCCAGCCAATCGGCTGGCTGGGGGGCGTGGCTTGCCCTATTTAGGGCCGGAGCCACTTTATTTGCATATTCATGAGCTTATTTATTATTCATGAGCTTTCCCGGGCCCCCCCCAATATTTTTTATAAGTCCGCGTCCCTGTGTCCACACCAGGCATTTACAGCTCATGACTTCCTCCAAAGACTCCCTGAGAAGTGTAATGCAGGGTGCAGGGGGCTGGAGCTCTGTGAGGTGTAAACTACAATTCCCAAGATGCTTTGGGGAAGCCATGTGCTGTGAATGTATGGTGTGGATGTGCCCCTTTCTCATTTTCACTTAATAGCAGGCTATATATGAAGGGTTGGAACACAATATTGATCAGTTTTCAGTAGGAGTTTAGGCACTTGTCTGAAAGGGGAGCCTTTGCTATGAAAACGTGGTGCTCTAACAACAACTGGAGGAAATTCAATTGGTTTTTCACTGCAGCTTGGACAAGGCTAGGGTTAAATTCCTCTGGGCGTATTACGGTTTGCCTCGGTATATTTATATATGGTTTTCTGCTTCCTTCAGTGCTCCCATAGGGAATGAGGACTCGCATTCTCAAGCAGTCAGATACTGATTCAGTTTATCCACCTTCCCTTTCATTCACTCGCCCACACACGTCGGCTCCTGAAAACATGCATTTCCATGGTATACTTGAAATTCCCCTTGAAAAATATGGGCTTTGTAAGTTGGAAGGAATCTTCCATAATCAGTTTTCACTGTTCCACAGAGCATAACTTCTGACTGCATTTCTTCTGCATGCCCTGTTCAAACTCTTGATTGATACCCACAACAGAAGAGTTTGGGACATGAGGTAGCCAGAGAGAGAGACGAAAAACCAGAACAGGTCACGGTGTGCAAGCACTAAGGCTGAAGTCCAGGGATGTGTGTGTCAAACCAGGGCTTCCAGCTTACCTCCTGCTCCCCATTGCTCAATTCCTTTAATGAGCCTGGAAGACTCTGGAGTTCAAGGCTGCAGCACTAATCTGGACATCCAGTCAGCTGACTCTGTGGGTCAGTCTCAGAGCACCAGGCCTTTTAATACCCTAGCCTCAGAACTAGCTCCTTAGTTTAAGCCACTTGACTCTAGTGTAAAGACTCTGCCTTACCTGGACTATATAGTTGCCTCTTTGGTAGGGTTGCCATACGTCAACAATGTTTCTGTCCGGATTTTCACTTTTTGAAATATGGCAACCCTATCTTTGGTTCTTGTTTGCTGCTTTGAACCTTGGTTCTTGCCTGCTTTACACTTGGGGTATTTGGGTGGACGGCCAGCTCCCAGGATCCCAGAACATGATGTCTACTTACCTAGAAGTAAATCCCACAGAACTCAATCGGACTTAACTTCTGTGTAGATAGGCATAGGATTATGCTGCCACTTAGGGATAGCTGTGCTGCTATTTTGTGGGTTGCTTTGGCTGTGAAGGCTAGAGAGAGACTTCTCAGGATTGACCTTAGACTTCGTAGTCCACCTTCACAAGAGAAAACACGCTTATGCAAAAGGGAGCAGCTTTAGGGGCCCATGGAGTGGCCTGGGAACACCTGAGGCTGCAGAATTGCCAGTGTCCCTCGGATGGGAAACCAGTAGAAGCTGTTCATAAGAACTGGATATATAAGCATAATCAATCTTTCAAATGAAAAGCAGTTTCAGATGTCATCACACTCACAGTAAAACAGTTTTAGTGGGAACTTGAGATGCAGCAGATACTGGATCAATGATGACAAAAAGCCAGCAGTGGGGTTTTTTTGTTTGTTTAAATTTTTTTTTAAAGATTCACGTTAAAGGCATTGAGGTCCAGTAAGGATGGCCATAATCAACATGGAGGAAAATTAGAGTTTAGTTTTTGAGCAAAGGTCCCTATATTTAAAAGGTGCAGCTTCTCCCCCCCCTTCGGTGTCCTCTGCTCTGGGCTGTTATTGGTGTCCAAAGATTACACACACACACACACACACACACACACACACGATAGATGGTTGATGAAAGGACACTTAGTGAGAGGCAGGGAAGGGAAGACTTCCTCAGGTGAAAGACTGGGAGAAGAAAGGAAAGCTCCCAGGTGAGAGGTGAGAGGCTCCACCACTTCCTGGGTGAGACAAGGATTAAGAACTACCTTTGAGAGAGGACTCTGCATTTTCTTTTCTCTTTCTCCTTCTTTTTCTGGTTTGTTTTTGTTTTCCTTAGTTTCTTTTATCTTACTGTATTATGAAAAAGCTTTAATAAAATATTATTTTTAAAAAATAAATCTAGTAAATAGATTTGGGCCAGTTAGGAATACTCCCAATCTAAGCATGGTGAACTCGTACTCAAAATATTTACTGCCCAATTTGCAGTTTTATCCATTAATTTATAATGTTGATCCAGGGAATAGCCATTCAGTAATTTTTGACCCAGCCAAAGGAATGACTACTGCATAGGCAACCTTGAGAGCTGTGCAGTTTTGGGCAGCTTGATTTACAACTTGAAACTTATGAGGGATTTATATTAAGCAGCTAGCTAGAACCTCTGTTTAATTTGTTTTTGTGGTTAATGGCATGATCCTAGTCAAGCTTATCCTAATGTAAGGCTCATGGAGTTGATTAGGACTGACTCCCAAGTAAGCTCAAGGCTTCAACCCTAAACACACACCAGGGGAGTAAGCACCATTAAACACAATGAGTCAACATGCATAGGAATGAGCTGTTAAGTCTGTAAAAACACCTCAAACCTGACATCTTTTTGGTAGTTAGTTATGTTTGTTTCTTTAAATGTTGCTTTAAGATTTTGGGCCCCCCACAATATCCCCTTGTCATAATTGTGTGTGTGTGTGTGTGTGTGTGTGTGTATATTCATTTCTTTGTAATAATCCATTAAAAATTTCAAACAATTGCATTATAAAAGTTCTGTTTGGCTTATTTTGAAATGCATTGGGTTTGAGAAATGTAACATTCTGCTACCAAAATTCACCCTCTCTATGAAGAGGGGAAGGGACGCGGGTGAAGCTGTGGGTAAAAGCATCAGCGCCTAGGGCTTGCCGATCGAAAGGTCGGCGGTTCGAATCCCCGCGGTGGGGTGCGCTCCCGTCGTTCGGTCCCAGCGCCTGCCAACCTAGCAGTTCGAAAGCACCCCCGGGTGCAAGTAGATAAATAGGGACCGCTTACCAGCGGGAAGGTAAACGGCGTTTCTGTGTGCGGCTCTGGCTCGCCAGAGCAGCGATGTCACGCTGGCCACGTGACCCGGAAGTGTCTCCGGACAGCGCTGGCCCCCGGCCTCTTGAGTGAGATGGGCGCACAACCCTAGAGTCTGTCAAGACTGGCCCGTACGGGCAGGGGTACCTTTACCTTTACCTTTATGAAGAGGGGAGGAAACACTGAGTAGCAGGTCATGCCTCCCTTATCTTCCAGTATGCTTCTGAATACCAGTTGCTAGAAACCACAGGTGGTGGGTGGAGGAGGAATGCTGATGCCTTCAGGCATCTGATCAGCCACTGTGAGACTGTGTACTAGATGGGTCGTTGGCCTGATCCAGCAGGCTTTTCTTATGTTCTTATGGCAACCTCAGAATCTGTGGGAAAAGTGAGAACTGCCTTATCTGACAAGGAACTCCTGGGGGAAGCTTGCAATGCTAATAGGGGACTGGTTCTTACGGGTACCTATCTTTTCAATATGTATACTGTCTAGAGATTTTTTTTTTAAAAGTGTACTGCCTGTTGGGGTGCCTTGCAGGTCTGTGTCCTCCTAAAGCAACAGCTCAGAGCCATATCAAACAGCTTCACTATTTCAAATAATTACTATGTGTTCTCCACCCATGCTTTCAATTGAATTGCCAGCATGACAAGAGGCTTCACAATATCTTTTCCTTTCTGGCCCAGTGAAGAACGTTATCAACCTGGTGCACAAACAAGTTAAGTTAGAACACATGGGCTGATCCCTCTACATGTCCCTCTTGACGTCAGTAGTGGGACCAAGGCTACAAACCTTCGCATTCTTACTTGGGGATAAGCCTCAGTGTATGCAGCGAGACTTTCCACCAATTAAGCATGCAGTAGGCTCTGTCTGCACTTCATTTTAAGGGCTCTGATTTACCGTAATTGAGCTGAAGATCAGGCTCTGTATCTTTTGAATCTCTGGGTTAAATGTTCATCCATGGGAAGGTTTAAAGGCTTTCCCCCCTTCCAAAGTTGCTGCATATATTGGATAATATTTGAAAAAAAAATTTTCTAGAGGCCCTTGAAAGTGATCAACTTCCACACTCTGTCCTGATTCACATTTTGGTTTACTTTTGCATTTTTCTGTTCCCATCTTTCAGATGTCGGACAACACAATAGTGAGCCTTCAGTTCAGCTGCCTCTTCCAGGGTATCTGGAGTGCCCAAGAAACCTCTGTGGTCTTGCTTTTTAAACAGCCTGTGTTTCTTTCCCCAGATTTGACCACTGCAAGACGTTTTAGCAGCCATGCCCAGAACTACACTACCCTCCTGCTAGAGGATGAGAAGGGAATTCTTTATGTTGGGGCCAGGGGGGCCATATTCTCCTTAAATTCCAGCAACGTTTCTGATGGCTCACATCGGACAGTAAGTGCAGCTTTATCCCACTGGCATGTTCACAGTTAATTCCCTTTGGAAATTTTGGTTTCCAAACCCATTTAGGGCTATATACATACCTTCAAGGAAGAACAACTACAGCTTTCTCTTTATTTAAACTTTAGAATCTGCTTTGATTGGGGAGGGATCATGGCTTCATGACGGAGTCAGCAAATGGCCAATCCGTGCTGTGCATATCAAATTTCTGCTCTGAGGTAGAAGACTAGATTTCACCCCAAATCTTATTGCATATGTGTAAAATATGTGATGAGTGCATTTCCACAGCAGACTCACTGCTGGAATAACGTATGCCTGCATGCAGCCTTTGTTACATTAGAGTCACCAAGAGATACACTGAAAACAATCTGTTCTGAAAAACTGATAAATGCTTCCTCATTAAAAATGGATGCATCTGTCATCAAATCTAGTTTCCACAACAGATATAGACAGATATGGAGCCTTTTGCCCACCTCCCATGTTAGTGGAATGAGCTGGGGCCAACCCTCACTGGTAGCCAATGGGTTCCTGAACTACAGCTCCCACCATCCTTGACCATTGGTCATATTGGCTGGGGCTGCTGGGAGTTAGAGTCTAACAACACCTTGAGGGCACCATATTGGCTCCCCTTGCTGAAGTACACAAAGGTCCTTTAAAGTACCTGGAAGTCTCTGGTGCCTCTTACCAGGTATAACACTTGTTCACTCTCCTTTGAGCCCTTTATCTTAGTTCGGTTTCTTTTCTGTGCCCTTATTTTTTATGCAAAATGGGAAGGGAGCTCTTGAGCCATGTAAAAATGAAAACAGCAGTCACCCTCTACTGAAAACCATTTGCATTTTTTGTCTCCTTCCCTCTCCCTTTTCCCCTGCTGCTTCCTTATGGTATTTGTAACAGCCAGGTTCTCATTTCAACCAAGGACCTTTAAAAGCAAATGGGCTACAAAAATCTGCAGCGCTCCCCCGCTTTGCACTTAAATAAATCCACTTATTCTGGGGGAAGGCGAAGTGTGAACTTTGAAGAGCTCTTGTGAGTTTCATGGGGCTTGCTTCTTAATGTCACGCTCCACCACTATTTCCTGGGCTGGGATGCCCCAGTGAATAATGATCCTGTTTTGTGTTTAACTTTGTAGATTGATTGGGAAGCCTCTCCTGAGAAGCGGGGAGACTGCCTGAAAAAGGGCAAAAACAACAAGGTATGTGCTCCACAAGTCTCTGCCTTTTTGTCTCTCTGCCTGCACTTCTGACCTGTTTGTGCCTGTAGCTGATGAACAGGCCATTGTCAGGACTCTTGTGCAAATGACACCCTCCCTTCCTCTTTTGCAGACAGAGTGTTACAACCATGTCAAGCTTTTGCAACGGCTGAACACAACCCACCTGTATGCCTGTGGCACATATGCCTTCCACCCGCTCTGCACATACATTGTGAGTAAAAGAAGCAAAAGAATCTCCTCCACTGCTTTGTTGGGAGTCCCTCTTTGCCCTGAAACTGACTGACAGGCAGATGTCAGTCATGCCCTTTGTTTCCAGAAGCTGTGCAATATTATTAGCCAGTCAGATACCAACTGAAAATCACTCAGATTAACTTTTCTGCACATGGATCTGGTTGTAGATGAACTCTGTAGGCAGGTATCCAGGGCAACAAACCAATCCCAAATCATGGCTCCTGTGTCAGTAATTCCTGCCAAGGAATGGAAAGGTCATGAAGACCAAAACTAATTTTTACTGCCTGCCAGAAGGAGGGAGGTCTGTGGGGAGGCTCTCCCTTCCTAGTGTTTTGTTCTCCAAGGCTGGCTGTTGATTTCTGGGAAGCCTAGGAACCTGGACTGATGCTTTAAGGTGTCTTGCCCATGGGTTTGCTAACATACCGTCTGCATAAAGAACTAAAGGAAAAGGCCAACCCTACCATTAGGCAATGAGACAACCATGGCCTAGTGTGGGGGCACTGATAATTTATTTATTAATTAAATTTCTATATTAGTTTTTAATATATAATCATACAAATTTCTATGACATCAGCCCCTTCCCCCTGTTCCCCTCTGTGGAGGACAGAACTGTGTGTGCCTTGTGCCAGTCTGGAAATAAGATTCAACTGTTATTCGACTCGGCTTCTCTACATGGGAAGGGGGTGGCGGTGACAACTTGTCTTTCGTCATAGGCAGACCCTGAGAAGCATAAGCATGCCTTTCTTTTATTCCTTTAAATTCACATTCAATGTGTTAACATTGGGATGCTTTCCTGCTGTTTGGCATAGTGGATAGAACATTGGACTGGAACCTGGGAAATCGGGTGGAATTCTGCATTGCACTCTTCCAGTTGTTCCATCTGTGCAAGCTTTGCCAATGACAACCGCCCCGCTCCCTGCGTGCTGCTGTGGGGGTTCTCCTGACCCAGAGTCAATTGGGGGGCACATGGAGGGAGGTGGGGGGTTGTGCAAGCAGAAGTCCTTGTGCAGGGCTTCCACTTATAGTGCTGGTTAGGTGACCCCTGCCCCAGGTTTAAAATCCCTACTCAGCCATGTGGTTCATGAATGATCTTGGGAAGTCACTCCTTCTCAGATGGACTACCTTGTGGCATTGTTGTGAGGGGTTAAAGGTCACCCTGGGCTCTTTGTATACACCAGTGTTTCCCAACCACTGTTCCGCGGCACACTAGTGTGCCGCGAGATGTTGCCTGGTGTGCCGCGGGAAAAATTAAAAAATTGAAAGATTTTTTTTTTTTAAAAAAGTCAAATTTTCGATTGGGGCGCCGTCACTAGATGACCCCTGGGGTTCCCTCCCTCCCTCCCGCTCTGCGCCTCCCTCCTCCTCCTCCTCCTCCTCCGGGGAGGCCCTTCCTGGCTCTCGGCCAAGGCTTGGCGGCTGCCACTCACTCACTTGCTCACCCACCCGTCCCTCCATCCCTGCACCCGGCTTCTCCCCCTCCGTCCCCGGCGCGGGGGCTGCCGGGATCCGTAGTTCCCTCGCCCTTGGGCTCCGTGCCCGCGTGGGGTGCGCGAACTACGTTTCCCAGCGTGGCCTGGCGGGCCGGGCGTTTTGTTTGAAGCGCTCTTCTTTGCTTTGCCAGTAGAGTTGTTCACTTTTTTAAAAAGCCATCAGTACCATACATCACTGATGGTTTAATAATTTCCTCTGTGCCGCCCCCCCACTCCCCGAGCATGGGTTTCCTTTATAATACCTGTTCTCAAAACTGTTAAAGAATTCCCTGCATTCCTGCTCTTTTCTTTACAAACAAACTCTCCACAAGTGCCCGGTGCTCTCATCTGAGCACCCTCCAATGCATTAGTCTCCTGCTGGAAATAAGTTGCTTGGAAAAGAGCCCAGTAGTTTTGACTGATCTATGGATTCTATGAACAGCAGGAAAAGGTGCCATTTGTTAGCCAGCAACAGGTTCTGCTACTCTCTGCTGTTGGAATGCTACAATCAACGACAATCCTCTTTACCTTTTGCTATCTACCTTGCCTTTTAAAAAATATCAAATGGTGACCAACAGAGAAGCAAAAATTAAATAAAGATTAACTCTAACAAGAAAACAACGTAAGAGAAAACCAAAATAGCAGCAAAATGTAAAGCCAGTGGGAAGACCAAAAAGAAAGAAAACCCGGTAACAACATTAGATTCAGACTGATGCTAAAACACACACAAACACAGTCTGCCAAAACCTGGAGGTCTCCATGGACTGGTGAAAGGCAAGAAGTTCTACGTGCTCACCTGCCTTATCTTGGGTCAGTGCTAAGCTGAGGCTCAGAGTTCAGCATCTATATATTGGGATTCATGTTTGTACAAACTGCTCTCCCAGGTTAGTTTGCACTTTGAACTGCACACCACACCCAGAGCCAAGAATTATGGTTTAATCAGAATCCTATCCAAGAAATGGTCCTGCTTCTTTTAGCTAAAAGTTCAGAGCCAACTGACTGAAGCTCCTGAATCACTAAAAAATGAAATAAGAAGATTTGGACCTGATCCCTGGCTTGTTTTCTACAACAGAGGGCTACCCTACAAATGGAAGATTGAACAGGATCTCCTCCAAAGACTGGTGAAATTGAGCAGGTTCAGGTGGGAGGCAGCAGTGCTTGAGTTATCTTGGTCCCATCTATTTAGGGCTTTATGGTGAAAACCAGTGCCTTGAATTGCGCCTGGCAGCCAGTTGGCGATTCAGTAATTGGAGTTGTCTGACATGCACACTTAACTTGCTCCATTGGTCACATAGATATCAAGACTTTAAATCTGAACAAGCATACATAGGATCAGGCTTCTTCTTTGGCGCTTGGTATTTGGATTCCTTTTATAATCAGAGGGAGTTACTGAAGTTATTTTAGGAAAGGAAAGACAGAGATCAGTGAAAACATTTCCATGAAGTTGGAATAAAGCTATGATGCATTCTCATCAGTGTTTGCGTTTCAGTGTAAACACACTTCCTTCACTGACACCAGCTTAAATGGGATGGGGTGGGGGGAGGAATCAAACATGAAAGAAGCACACATAAAACAAAGGACTGTTTATATTCTTAGTGGAGAATTGGATGGTTTGATTGCCCAAAATAGAAACTGAGTAACTGGACACAGTTTATCACCACCTCATTGCTTTGAATTAAGATAAGTGTGTATTTGTGGTAAGCCACTTTGGACACAGCTCACTGTGGAAAGGTGGCATATAAATAAATATTTCACCAAACATCCAGATTGTGGTACATTGTGATGGTACTCATGCAGGTTTCTAAATCAATGTGATGCGTTAAGTTTTGGAAGTGGCAGATGTCGGTTTTAGGTCTGTGCTAAGCCTTGAACTTCCATGCCTGTGGCAGCCCAGTGGGTGATCTCCAGAGATTGTTGTGAAGATAATGATATAAAAATGGCAACAAGTTGTAATGCCCAGAGCATGAGTAACGAGCTGGCAGTCCCTGATTCACATCTCAGCTCATCCTTGAGTTTGTTGGCTCATCTGAGCTAAGCCATTGTTATCTGAACCTTGACCTCTCATTTGAACATTGGGCACAATACCACCAACCTATATGACAAGCTGCTGAAGATTACTGTGGAATCGTCAACTAAGTGCTGAGAAAAAACAACTGTGCTTTTAAATGCATGGTGTGGATGTGGCCTAGACCTAGCAATCAGTGCTACTGGAACTTTAGCTCAGTGGGAGACCCTTGGGCAATGAGGGTTGTGAAGGAATGAGAGTCTTTGCCACAAAAAGCATCCCATTGTTACCTTTGGAGAGCAGGATCTGACGGGCCCTGAAGACCTGCCTCTTCTCTTCCCTCTGAAAGAACTGTCCTACTTGTTTGTTTCCAAGTGGAGGCCTTTGGTCTTCAGGATCATCAGAGGTATTGATTACTTTAATGGATGCAAGCAAACCCTGTGATCCCCTGCCCAGAGGTTGATCTGTTTCTTCTCTTTGTGTTCTGCAGGATACCAACAAGTTCACACTGCCCTCTCACTTTGAGGAAGGGAAGGAAAAATGCCCTTACGACCCTGCCCGGGGCTACACAGGTCTCATTGTGGGTATGTATGTGCTTTCTCCTCCATATAACAGTTTGGCTTGGAATCCAGCTGGAGTAGGAAGAGCAGGCAGTGCCTCCTTTGAGTGGGGGTGTGGTGCCCCAGTGGAAGGCCATGCTCGCTCGTCATCCATCACCTGAGGGCCCACTGCATCTCCATCTCCCCCATCCCTTCCAGCACTTAAGTTTCCTTGCTCTTTTTGATGTCAGAGCAGCTATAATCTCCCTGCCTGTGCAGCACCTCGGCCTCACTAGCCACATGGTGCGGCTGCTTCTCTTCCACTCTAAATGTGGCCAGAGTCATAAACCAACCAGGTGCTGCTGCATGACAAAATGACAGGGAAGTCATGGGTAGGTGATGCTCTGGTTATTCCTCGAATGCTCTCTTGGTGCCTAGCTCTGTAAGGGAGTTATTATGCACCGGCACACACAATGGCCAAAGTCAATAAATCTCGGGAGCGGGTGTGCTCTTCCTGCTTAGAGCAGGTGCAGAAGGGTTAGCTTAACAAGGAAAGAAGCCCTTTGGGCCAAGCTTTGTTAGAGGGATATTGATCAGACACATCCGTGAGCAAAACCATTCAGAAAACTGGCCTTTCCTTACTACTTTTGCTGCATTGTCTCGCAGATGGCAGTTTATATACGGCGACGCGCTACGAATTCCGCAGCCTGCCAGACATCCGACGCAACAGGCACCAGCGGATTCTGAAGACCGAAGAATCCCCCTTGCACTGGTTGAATGGTAAGCCCCAGTAACCCCAGAGCAGTACCTCTAGGATCTCTTGTCTCTTCCCACACTGGAGGTGGAGGGAGTCTTGTGTTTGTAAGGCCCTAGGTAGTGGTGGTACTCTTCCCAACTCTGAAGCCAGAGCGTGTCGTATTCCACTGCAGAAAGGAGCCTAACTGACTCCTGGATAGATCTGAACCCAGTTTGTTCCTGGTTCCCCTCTCTGTTGCCTATCCCATAGCCATGACACCCAGGCTTGAGATCATTTAGAGTTGCTGTGTGCCTCCTTTGGTAGCTCACCATCTAGTGACACCGTCTAGTGCCTCCTTTGGTAGCTCTCTTCTAAATATTGTGCCAACCCTTTCCCTCTCTCCTTGGTGTTTTCAGATGCTGAGTTTGTGGCCTCTGTGCTGGTCAGGGAGAGTGTGCGCAACCCTGTGGGCGATGATGACAAGATCTACTACTTCTTCACCGAGAGAGCAGGAGAGGAGAGCACTTCTGTATTTGACAAGGCACAAGTGCCCAGAGTAGCCAGGGTGGCTCGAGTGTGCAAGGTAAAGTGATTGGTGTGTTGGAAAAAGCTTGAGTGTGCTGAAGGGCACCAGGAGGATTAATTCAGAATTTTATCTAGGAGTGCTTGGTGGTAGTGGGGAGACTCTTTCTCCTCATTTAAAAATGCCCCTCTAAGCCCTATAGTTACGGAGTCATTAATTTAAAAGGGAGCTTGGGATCAAATGAGATGTGTCATGGAAGATCTCTTGCAGGACATCCTGATATCTTGGGTTAAAAGGAATTGTGGGGGTAAGCTTTGCATCAAGGATGTAGTCCTAGGCAAGGGTTTTCCCCCCAGCTGTTTCTCCCTGTTCTATTTTGACAGCTTTATCCCTTGCAAAAGTATATGTTGGTCCCCCCCCCATCTTTTCTTCTTCTTCTCCCCCATGGCTTGGCAATATAGAAATCTAAACATTTTTTAAACAAGTCATTTCCAGTCTTTTTAAAAAAATAACAGTTCAGAAAGGTCAAACAAAAACATTACTCTTGAAGTGGTGTTTATACACTGGACCTTTGGGGACACATGGCTGACTTTCTACATTCAAAGAAAAAGAGCTAGGCTATGCAGATAAGTATCATCAAGCAACACTAGAAAAACCCCAGGTGCTTGGCTGCCCAAGTGCCCAAACATTGGATAATGGCACCTGAGGATCTTGAGCATAGAGCCAACCTTGCATGGGACAGACTGCCTCAAATGTTAAATATTTAAGAGTCTGAATTACGCACACACACCCATCTCTGACATTATGTATAAAGAGGCTCAGGCAACTCATATATATGAATCAGTCCCCCAAGAAAGGCTATAGGGAGAGGTAGTAACTCATCCAAGTTATGAATGAATGAATGAATGAAGACCCAAAGGCCCTTTTTCCTGGTAGGGTGACCAGATGGCTCCTGCACATTTAATAGTTGTGCGCAAGAGAGAAATTCAGCAGATGCAGCTTGCTTTTTCACATGAATGCCGCATGTGCTGGCAGGTGATGCTCAGGCCTGGTGTGCATCTTCAGTTAAAACTAGAGTTGAATATTTGACTGAAGGGAGCAGGGCCACTTCTTAAGCAAGATCCTGATGGGGTGCAGTGCACAGAGCAACTTGAGAGGTGCAGGCTGAAGTGCAGTTTGGTCAGCCCAGTATGTAGCTGTGGAGGCTTGAGCCTCAGCTTTAGCCCTGCATGGACCTGGTGCTTTGCTTCAGCCACCTGTATATTCCCTTTGCACGCTGCCAAGCCCTTTACTACTCAAGTTCTAGATTGCAAAGCCTTATTCACAAGTTTTATCTGTGGCAAATATAACCATGATTATCCCTGTTAGCCTATTACTGTTCTATCCTGATTACCCTGTTGCGTCTCTTGAGATGGGTAGTGTCCATGGCTAAAACCCCTTTACAGCCCCTTTGTGCTGTTCACTGCTGTAGCAAAACTAACTACTGGTGCTTAGGTGCCACAAAGCATCCAAAATGAAAGGAAGAGACAGTGTTGTACAGAGGGCTGAGTTTGGACCAGGGAGATTTGCAGTATGATCCTAACTAGGGTTGCCATATGTGCTCTCTTTCCAGGACACATCCTCTTTTTCATGGGTAGAGTGGTCATAGTGAACCATAGTTAAAAGTAGAAGTTGGCAAATGTGTCCTTTTTTTCTCTCTCTTCAAAATACAGCAACCCCAACATGTTTACCCATAAATAAGCCTCACCAAGTTAAGTGGGACTTAGGAGGAAACACGTGCTTGGGATAGAAAACCTAGGTTTCCTGCTCAGCCAGAAAACTTTAGAGACCCTAACTCTGAACCTGGCCTATCTCACAGGGCTATTGCAAGGATAATGTCAAACGGTCCCTTGGGCACTCCTTGAGAAGAGCTGTAGCTCCAGTGGGGAGAAGGCTAGCTAGATTTTTTTGTCCTGGGTGAAGCCTCCAGAGGGGCACCATTGAGGATCTCAGCCTGTGTGTGTGTGTGTGTGTGTGTGTGTGTACACACACAAATGCACATGGGGAGTGCCAAACTGGGTCTTAAAGCCGGGTGAAAGAAAACCTAATTTTGCCCTTGCCTTGAGGGTGGTGGCAGGCTGGGGGGGAGGGGATGCAAATGTGATAAATAAAAAGGGCTAACCAAATCAACTGCAGTATACTGCAAGGACGAGCACTGAATCTCTTCTGCATGTGATGCCAGAGCACAAATAGCTCAGATAGAGGTGATACAGGCTTCTGTCTGTGCTCATGGCAAGGTGCCCTTGGCCCCAGAATGAGCCCTATCACTCTAGTGACTGCGGCAGTTAGCACTGGAATTGGTGCTCATGAGGTTTTTGAGAGAGAGGCTTGTCAAAGCAGAAGTCCTTCCACTGGGTCTCCTCTGGGTGCTGCCAGCTCTGCTCAGGGTGTTGCAGTGAAACCCACGTTCCCAAGGAGGCTATGCTGCCCACCCCCAACCTCTTACGAATGCAAGCCTTGAAAAGCCAGAGTATGCTTGAAAGCCAGAGTATTCCAAGTGCATCTAAGTGAGGGCAGGGCAGAGTCAACAAGGCTGCATGGGATCCATCTTTCAGCTGTTCTGACAGATGGTTCTGGGCCCCGGGAGCATCCAGGACTCTGCTTGTGGCTCTGAATTTATGCATCAGTCACCTTGGCTGGTTATACCTCAGTCCTTGTAACCAGGGCAGCAGCAGCAGCAAATTGGAGCAGGCAGGGAGAGAGAGAGAGAGGAATGGGAGAGTGAGCTTGGCCACGAGAGATTTAAGGAGCTTGAGATGTGTGCCTGATCACAAGGTTAAGAGGCTATTTGATTACTGCACATAAGTATGTTCCCAGGGAGAAAGCGCTGGGAGGGAGGCAGAAACAAGAGTCAGCAGCAGGATGTTAAAGCTATGTACAATCAAATTGGAAACCAGGTTCTTACGAACAGAAACAAAGCAACAAGGGAGATTAGCGCCAACCGTTTGTGAAAGGGATGTGCGCCATTACACCCAGAGCCCTGTGTCTTTGGCATCAGGTGTTGCTTGTTTTCTCCAGGGCCTGAGGCTTCAGTTGCATCTTGGAACGAGAACGGTCTTATCCGGAATACACAAGCTCCCCTTGGCATTGTGCTCTGATCGCTGGGTTTTGTCACTACAGGGGGGAGGGGTGATCAAGCCTCACACAATCCTCCTCCAAACACTGGTCTTGCTGTGTTTGACTCACAGGGAGCCAGAAACACTTGCTTTCAGAAAGATCAGTCCAGATTAGTTACCCTATTATAGCACTGAGAGATGTTCAGGGGGCTCGTTTTACAGTAATTTTGAAAAAGTATTGAGCCTTTCCTAGAGTGAACTAAGTTGTTAATCCTGGTTTGTTAATAGGCGGTTGTTTTCAGACGCCATAAGCAGACCCATGTAGTTTCCCAAGTGTTGTGCATTTAAATGATTTTGATGTAAATGTTTAGAAGCTGCTGATCTGTTTCAGTAAAGCTCCAACTGAAGATGAGTCAGAGCCATCCTAGAAGACCTTGGTCCCAGCTTGGACCAAACCAACATTAGTGCAGAATGTTCTGTTCACATATAGAATTCCCCTTGTTTATGCCCACAGTTTCCACAGGGTAGACCTCTTGCAGCAAAACCAACAAAGAGCCTTGAGGCACATCAAAGACACATTTATTATGACATAAGCTTTTGTGGACCTATAATCCGCTTCATAAAATATATGAAGCTGAACATAGTCCATGAAAACTTGTGCCATAATAAAATAGTTGGTCTTCAAGGAGCCACAAAACTATTGATTGCTCATTTGTGCTTCCCTCCCCCACTGTCCTTGGGCTTTTCATGCATGGTGAAACTGTTCAGATGGGACCTTTCCATTGTATTGGAATCAGAGTTGGCCTTGTGCTTGGCTTTGCCTAACAGATATTGGGACTTGGCTTTAGCCTCTGCCTCTCTTTTTTCTGCATGCCAGAATGATATTGGTGGCAAGAAGATTCTCCAGAGGAAATGGACATCCTTCATGAAAGCAAGGTTGGCCTGCTATGTTCCCTACTATGAGGTACTGAAGGATGTTTACAGTCTGGATGGTGGCGACTGGAGGAGCACCGTCTTCTATGCAACATTCACTTTATCAGCACAGTGGTAAGCCAAGCATGCTAACTGCGTGTTGGGTACTCAAGTAACTGTAACCGTTCCGAAAAGATACACGGAGTCAGTTGAATTACACAAGTTCCATGTGCTGCCACCAGCAAAGAAGATGAACGAAATGCTAGGGATTATTAGCTGATGGTACAGAACACAGAGCAGGACGTGTCACGGTACCCTTGATTACCGAATATGGTTCTCAGTCTCAATCTCCTGCCTGCTGCATTGCAGAACTTGACTTGCAGTATGGTGCAGGACACAAACAAAGCAGATAGGCTGTTCAAGCAAGGGAATCTGGCCTTGAACATTTCAGCATTCCAGGAGCATCTGCATTCACTTGGGCAAATTGGTTCAGTCTCTGTATTCCAAGGCAACAGGTATGGATTCACCCCACTTCAGTGCCTGTTGTGGCACAATCCAAACATATGCCACACTGTTCAAAGCCTCATAAAAGACACCAAAGGAAAGTCAACTTGCATTGAATGGAAAGAAGGCCATTGTCAGTTGGTCCTCAGAGTAAAGAGGCTTTCAGCTGCTTAGACTGCGCTGGCTCTGCCAGTACCACCTGCTATATTCTCAGATATTTTTGCCCTCTGCTTCTGAGTGAGGCAGGAGGCTTGCCCTTCTGTTTCCAAGGCTGGCCTGCCTGTGCTTTTAAGCTGGACAGGGTCCATTGATGCTTTCATCCCACCTGAGCTCCAGTCAGTGGTGTGATGGTAGATGGAGGCTTTCAGTTTGGTTGCCAGCAAAATCCTCCTTGCCCTTGTAAGTATTTTGGCACTTGTGACTGATTCAGTTTGCCTGAGTGTTTCTTGCTGAGGGCAAGGAACAGATGGGACACTCTGAGCACTTGGTGAGACAAAAGTCCTATTGGTGAGCATCCATAGAATAGATTAATAATAGCTGTATATGCAGGAGGTGGTGTGGGATAGGAAGGGGAGTCAGCTTAGAATTCTGGAAGGGCTCACTTTGGCTTAATTGGGAGCAAGGGCCAAACTGTTCACCATATGGATTTTAACCACAGCAATAGGTGCTGTGCGACTTCACTGTTTGTGGACTGAGCCCAGTCTGAAGTCATAGCCAGCCTTTTGCACTTCCTGTTAGTTTTTAATGGTGGTATGAATTTTAACAAGTTGTCCTCGGCTAATTAGTAGCTTTGTGCTTGTAACATTTATCAAGTGGAAGGTTCACACTGGCAGCAAGATGGCACCCACTGAGCTACCATCCTCATGAGAGGGGAGCTGAACATCAGAGGCATTTATTAATGAGCACTGGCCGTTACATCTCAAAGGCTATTGAGAACGTACAGGGTATTTTGCACGTGGCCTTTTCGGGGATGTCAGGGGAATGGTTAAAGAGACAGAACTGGGGCAGAAGTGGCAGCTGGTTGTTGTTATTATGTGACGATGAAGGAAAACCAGGGGGCTTTGCAGGGCTGACAGTCTTCCCCACAGAATGACAGGAAATGAGGAAACCTCCAGGATTACACAGGAATATCCTGCTCGTGACAGAAAGTCATTTGACTCATTTGTCAGAGAAGCAAAAGCTACCACTTACTCGGAACCTATTCTCTTGACCTGGCTTTGCACTGAGAAGAATTTCAGAGAGCAGGGTGCGTAAAGGAGACCACTGCCAAATCCAGGGAGGAGTGCAAAACTAAGAACTCACCATACAGCACAAAGTCCAGCAGGAGAAGCAAGCATTTGCAAGCATCAGCATGAATTAACACTACAGGGATAAAGGAGTCCAGTTGGAGATGGCCCAAAATATTTTGGTGTTTGAGAATGAAGATATAAATGTTGCTACTGTGACAGCAATTTGCTGTTGTTTAATGGTACCTCCAAAATGCCTGGGGCAGGCGGACTTCCCCTGTCTAATGGTGAATCCAGACTCCCCAAGTCCAGTATATTTTGTGCAGAAAGGCCACACAGGTGCAAGGTAACATTTTCCAAATACTGGCTGGAAGTTCATGGAGGGATAGCAGGAAGACAGACGCAATGATAGCCAGTAAGTGGTAGCAAGGATAGGTGTGATTATTTGTTATTTATTTATTTCATAAAATGTATACATCACTAGATTGTTAAAAAAAAATATTAAAAGTGGTTTATAGAGAGAATAAAACAATGCTGGGGATACAGCTGCAGAGAGAGGGCAGGGACCCTGAGAGAGAGTCTTGTTCAGATACAGAATCAGGCAGAATACCAGGACTGGCTCCAGGTTTTAAAGGCCAGAGTGCCAGCTGGCAGGCCCCAGCAGACCTACCCGGCAGTGGCAATGGGGTAGCAAGTACCAGGCAGCACCACTGCAATGCAGTGCTGAGCAGCTGGGCCCATAATGATTCAGAGCAGTACTGCACTGGGGGGCATTGCAGAAAATTTCAAATAGCAGCTCAGATACAGCCTCCCAACAAAGGGGTGGGAGGCATAAGCATAGCTGGGGAAAATTCTGCTGGCGCTCCAGCAGCTGCACAAGCCTTCTGCATAGGGAACTCAAGTGAGCCATTTCATCTTGGTGTAGGGACTGATTACTCTTCCAAGCTCCGCCTGGCAGCAGAGAGTGAAAGGGATTAAAGGTGTTGCCCTGTCACTCAGACCTTTGCAGAGTTTATGGCACCAGAGCTTCATGATGAGTTATGGCTGCCTCAAGCAAAGGTTCGCAGAGGCAAGTGGAGTCTTGGGTAGTGGATGACAGTGCCTTGCATATCAGCTGGCCAGATGCACAGGAGGACAGAGCAACTGCACTTTTAACTGTTGAGTAGAAGAGGGAAATTCAGGAGGTGTAGCTGCTGAAACTCCCTCTTCTATACAACCATTAAACTTACAGGAGCCCCATCCTCTTGTGCATCTGGACATTCCAGATCTATAGTGAGGTATATAAGAACTGTTTGTACCAGCAGCTGCTCCTGCTTTTTAAAATAACTTGTTCAATTACTTTTAATATAAATGTGTAAAACATTTTAAATCTTTTACATATGCATGTTTCTCAGCTACTGAATTGTTTCTTTTGTTCTCCTTTACCAAAGGCTGCTAGTCTGGCTCCACCCACATTCTGCCAAAACAATAGAGCAGGGGTCAGCAACATTTTTCAGCAGTGGGCCGGTCCATCGTCCCTCAGACCATGTGGTGGGCCAGACTATATTTTGAAAAATATATATGAATGAATTTGTATGCCCCACAAATAACCCAGAGGTGCATTTTAAATAAAAGCACACATTCTACTCATGTAAAAACACGCTGATTCCCGGAACGTCCGCAGGCCGGATTGAGAAGGCGATTGGGCCGCATCCAGCCCACGGGCCTTGGGTTGTCTACCCCTGCATTAGAAAGTTCTAGGTATAGTCCCTATAAAGGGGCAGTGCATGGGCAGCCAACTGCTTGAGAAAAAGGTTGCTAGAATGCTGCCTTACTGGTAGAAACAACTGCTGCTAACTGTTAGACTTAAGAACCCTGTAGTCATGACCTAACTCTCCATAGCCAAGATAGATTTTGCAGCTGATCTTGTGGCCTTTTCTTTTTTTTAAAAAAGGCTACTGCCTGTCCCTGAAACAAGAAATGTTCCCTGCAGAGAAGGGCAGGGGTGCTTCATTCATGTGCCAGGTTTTATCCAATCTTAAGGTAAAAGGTAAAGGTACCCCTGCCCATACGGGCCAGTCGTGTCCGACTCTTGGGTTGCGCGCCCATCTCACTCAAGAGGCCGGGGGCCAGCGCTGTCTGAAGACACTTCTGGGTCACGTGGCCAGCATGACAAGCTGCATCTGGCGAGCCAGCGCAGCACACGAAAACACTGTTTACCTTCCCGCTAGTAAGCAGTCCCTATTTATCTACTTGCACCCGGGGGTGCTTTCGAACTGCTAGGTTGGCAGGCGCTGGGACCGAGCAATGGGAGCGCACCCCGCCGCGGGGATTCGAACCGCCGAACTGATGATTGGCAAGTCCTAGGCGCTGAGGTTTTACCCACAGCGCCACCCGCGTCCCTCCTATCCAATCTTAGGCGCTATCTAATCCGTTTATCTGGAACGGGAGAATAATTTTCCTGTAAGGCAAGTGGGCTGGTGACAATACCCAGGATTTATCACATTCTCCTCCAACATGCAGTGTCATAGACTTTGTTGAGCCATCTGGGTTTAGTTCATGAAACCTGTTCCCGGTTGGTCAAACCAGATGATCTTCAGATTCCTTGTTGCCCTATAGTGCTACAAGGATCGTTCTATGTTGAGGGTGGGGAGCATGTGGCTCTCCAGACTATAACTCCCATCATCTCTGCCCACTGGCCATGCTGCTTGGGGCTGATGGGAGTTAAAGAGTACAGCAGTATCTGGAGCACCACAGGTTTCCCATGCCTGGTTTGTGTGGACCCAGAAGAATTAGCAAGAAGTGGAAGGCTCTGGTCTTGTGCTATGACCATGTCACCATGTCTTTCAGGAGGAGCATGGAGGTGTCTGCCATCTGCAGATACAACATCTCTGAAGTGCGGGCAGCCTTTGAAGGGACTTACATGGAATACCAGGACTCCTCCCGCAAGTGGTCCCAGTACACTGGGGAGGTGCCAGTGCCCCGGCCAGGATCAGTAAGTTACTTACCAACTTAATAGCTCTTAAACATCATTGATAATATTCTATTTAAGTCAGTTCGGAATAATGGCTGGCTTTTAGTTTTTGAACCTGAGTTTTGTTGGGTTGGTGCTGGACGTTTTAATCAGTGTCAGACTTTATGGCTGGATTTTATCTACTGCTGTGTTGGTTTTTTCTGATTTATAGTTTTACTGTTCATTTTAATTTTATCTATTTGTCTGGGTGCATGTCACCTAGAGAACAGTTTTTTATTAGGTGACTCATGCACAGAATAGCATAAATAAATAACATCTTATTTTGCCTCTTGTCTCAGATAAAGGAGGTGGGAGGCACTCTCTTCCACCCAAGGAACACAAGAGTGCTCATAACTAAAACAGACAAGTAGAATCCCTAATATGCACCATTTCATACTGTGGGTGAAGGTTGAGGGCTCCCCTACTCAAAATAATCCATACCAGCAGAAAAGTAGAAGATCCTCCAATTAGGTTTTTCACAGGCATTCTAGGTTTGAGTGAATAGCTAATATTGCATGTAGGGTTGTGTTCAGTCTCTTACCTGCAGAGTGAAATACAACAAGCCTGGCAACTGGTGTATCAGAAGGGGCATTTGTTTGTATGCTTTAGCTGTTAGAGCAGGGGTGGAGAACCTGTGGTCCTCCAGCTGTTGTTGGACCCCAGCTTCCATCAGCCTCAGCTAGCATGGCCAAAGGTGAAGGATAATGGGAGCTGAAGACCAGAAGCATCTTGAAGCTAGGTGTGCAAATAATGCCCATTTCTCCTCTGCAGTGCATCACCAGTCGGGCTCGCAAGAATGGCTACAACACCTCCCAGGACCTGCCCAATGGTGTGCTGGATTTTATCAAGCTCCATCCACTGATGTATGAAGAGGTGAAGCCTGCGGATGGAGTCCCCCTGTTGGTGAAGAAAAATGCGGTTTATACCCAAGTAGCCGTAGACAGAGTCCGAGCCCTGGATGGGCGAGTGTATGACATGCTGTTCTTGGGAACAGGTAGGTGTGTTTGCATTCCCCGTGCATATCTAAGTGTCTGTGTGTCCTCATCTGTTAGACAGAACACACATCTAGGGAGGTTACTCGTTGTTCTCACCCCTCTCAACCTTGTATCGGAATGTAGAGGAGACAAAGAGTGCAACCCTATTATGCTTTCTAAGCCTTCCAAACCTTTGTAGCTGAATCTGTGTTTTTTTTTAAGGAGAAACAGTTGGGTTTCTGTATGCTGCACAGCCTCCCTTTCCCTAAGCTGTTCCAGTGCCGCTCAGTTCTAATTGACAGCTACTATGCTGTGCTTAACACTACTAAGCTGCAAACAGACATACCTGTAAACAGGTATGGTTGCTTTCCTCCCCGCCCCCCAAGGTGAGCCTTGCTTTTTCTGGCTTTTGCTCTTCAAAGGACACAGAGAATCAAAGCTTGATTATCTCTTCTTCTTTGCCCCTTTTCCGTCACTTAGGTGGGCTTTGTGGGTTTTTGTCTCTCTCAATCATAAAAGGTTACGGTATATTCTTCTTAAGTTCTACTCCAAGTGATGCTTTTTTGATGACAAAGCCCCAGCATCAAATCAGTTCTGGAAAATTGCTCTGAGAAAGGGAGAGGTGGCTTCATGATTGCCAGTGAAGTTCCACTATGGAACTTGGGCAGTTACAACTTTGTGCCTGTTTAGAATTCAGTTGAACTCGTCTCAGAACTACAAATCCCATTATTCTGGGGAGAGGAAAAGAGCAGGAAAAGAAGTGACAAAACTGTTGTCCTGCAGCATAGACTGGCACTACAGTGTTCAGGCACACTTCTGCTTCTTGTAAATCTGGAAGTAGACAGATCCTCTCACTTGCCAACCAGACCCTACACAGGGCTAGCACCTTGAATTTTGCCTGCATGACTGATGTCAAGAATGAGACTGTGTGGGAAATTGCTTTTTTAATGTTTGCTCCCGTTTAACAGGAAATGGCTGGATTCACAAGGCTGTGGTCATTGGTTCCATGGTCCACATCATCGAGGAGATCCAGGTCTTCAAAGCCCCCCAGCCTGTGGAGAACCTTGTCATCTCTAAAAAGCAGGTACATGTGGCTTCGGACCCCACCCAAATGCTTTTGGTGAAGGCACACATGCACTGTAAAAAAGCAAAGCACCAACAAGGGTGCAGTAAACAAATGTTGGGAACAGGCCTATGTCAGCTGGAGAACCAATTCAGGATAATCTGGACTTCATTGCTAACCTATGTCCTGCACACTTCTCTCTACCAAAGTTGTAAGATATTCACCTTTTCTTCACACCACCGTAACAGGAAAGAACTATCCATATTAGCAAACGCTCTGTCAAGGCGTGGTTCCCCTTTGCACCTTTCACCTTGGAAGGAAAAAAAAATCATAAGCTTGTGGAACATGGGTGGTGTTTTTCTTATGTATTCTGACTCTGTGCTCTCTCTGCCAATAGGCAGCCCTCAATAAAACTGTGCCTTGAGGGTGTTTATTTGGCTTTGCCTGTAGCTAAGGTGGTTCCCACCCAGTGTCCAAAGGCCCTGTCATGCGCTGTCCTGCCTCGTTGGAGCCCTTTGCTCAGCAGTCTGGAGCTTGTTCCTCCACATTCCTTGCAAAGCTGCTCAAGTTTAAAAGCTTCCCTTTCCAGCTCCCAGGAAGGACTGCCATTTTTTGTGACTTAACAGATTCAGTTCTGTATGCATAATTTGCATGCCGCCTTTTCGCTGTCCAAACCATGCTCAAGGTGGCTTACGACATAAATTCAGCATAACAAAAGGAGTCATAAATAAACAAAACATCAAAAACTACACAACCAAACTGAACAATTTCCACACAAAATCACAAGGTCTAAAATAAAGATACACAAAAACCAACAGCAACAATCTCCCCACCCACGGCAACAAAAGTCTGTTCAGCAACCTCAGCTTTTGTAGCTGGAGTCAGTCCAGACCCCACCTTCACAGGCCAGGTGGGAAAAGGCTTGTAAGGCAGGGAGCAGGTCTTGCAGCCAAGATGCTTTGTGCCTCTATGATGACAGGCAGGAGGGGGGGAAATCATTAGTTAAGAACCTCCATCCTAGCAAACGCTGCATCTGTTGAATTCTTTAGTTCCCGTCAGGCAAAACAGCAACAGCCCTATTTGCAGCTCAGTCCCTAGTTCCTTTCTCAGTGTGACAGTGAAGGTTTATGCCTCCCTGGTACAGCTGTCAGGGGAACTTGTGTGATGTACTGCAGGTGGGATATTTTAGTACTATAATATGTGCTGTCATATGTGGTTCTGCAGGCTCCTCCAGATCTTGTTAAGACTACAATTCCCATCATCCTTGACCACTGACCATGTGCTGGGGGTCATAGGAGTTGCAGTGCAGCTACATATGGAGGGTACCACATGGGCTAACACCCTTCCTGCTTTCTCTTTGGGCTCTTTTTCTAGGACTGCCACAAATATTTAGTTGGTTGTGTTTTTCCTGGTTTGGAGATAAAAAGGGTGGGGAAAGCTTAGCCAGGCAAACACCTGCATGTCATGCTGCTGTTAAAGGGAAATAATGTAGATGGGATTCAAGGAGGGACTTTTCCTGGCCTTTGTTCTTTCTCTTTCATTTTAAGCATCTCCCTCCAAGTGGTCAGCAGGGAATGCAACTCTGCCCTCAGACTTTTTTTGATGTTAGGGTGGCTTTGGAGAGGCAGCAAATCTATGCACCAGGTGATGAACACGTACAGCAGTAGGATAGCCATGAGCTGGGAAGGATAAATGGCTGCAGGGTGACCCTAGTGATTTACTCTGGTTCCCTGCTTCCCTCTGCTGGTCAAACACTGGTGCTGAAGCTACCTATTACCAACACATGATATTGAATGTACCAGCTATAGATGAGCCCAGCTTCTATAAAAATCCTGGCTTCCAGTTCTGCCTTTTAAGTCATTCCAAGGTATGGTCTGAAAGCCACCACCTTGCTGAAGTGAAGCAGGTCTAGTCAGTGCCTGGAAGAGTGGCTACCTGGGAACAATGTATTTGCCACCTTAGGTTCCATGGCAGAAGGCAAGATATGAATGTAAGAAAAATAATACCGTGTTTTTCCGTGTATAAGATGCCCCCATGTATAAGACGCTCCCTATTTTTGGGAACTCCAAATTAAGAAAACACCCCTCAGCACTACCCGTGTATAAGACGAGCCCCAATTTTAAACCTCATTTTTGGTTTAAAAAACCTAGCCTTCTGCATGGAAAAATACAGTAATTAACCTGGGCCTTGAAGCATTGCACCTTACATTGCCTTTCAACAGTTAATTGGATGTTTCAGTTCCCTGCCTTTGCATCTCTGCTGAGTGCATGTCCTGTCTTTTCTCTCTTTGCAGAGGAGTCTGTATGTGGGGGCTCAGAGTGGAATCCTGCAGCTACCATTTTCCTCCTGCAAGCGCTATGTCTCCTGCTTTGATTGTATCCTGGCCCGAGACCCATACTGTGGCTGGGATGGTGAGACTTGCAGAGAAGTAGCCGAGATGCTGGACAGGTAATTGAAAACTGACTACAAAGAACTGAACGTGTTACAGTGGTACCTCGGGTTAAGAACTTAATTCGTTCTGGAGTTCCGTTCTTAACCTGAAACTGTTCTTAACCTGAGGTACCACTTTAGCTAATGGGGCCACCTGCTGCCGCTGCGGCATCACAGCGCGATTTCTGTTCTCATGCTGAAGCAAAATTCTTAACCTGAGGTACTATTTCTGGGTTAGTGGAGTCTGTAATGTGAAGCATCTGTAACCCGAGGTACCACTGTACTTGCATGCGGAGTATACTTGTGCACAAACTGGAGCAGGGCGATACTTTTAAACCTACCCTGCTCTTTCCCCAAATGCTGGATATTTGGTTGTTGTTTTTAAACAGCTGCCCATTGGGTGTGTTTGTCTGACTAAGGCAGCCAATGTGTGAGCTCCTGCTGGCACTCCACATGACTGGGACACCAAGTTGCCTGGATGTCCCAGTCAGGCAGATGCCCTGTAGGCAAGGAGGAGCTCATACATTGACCATGCTCAATGCAGCTATTAAAGAAAAGAAGACTTGAGGTGGGTTAAACATGTGCTCCCCACTCTGGTCTGTACTCAGGCATGTCCTACATATGAGTAATGCATGCATACAGCTTGCATCCAAGACCTATGTTTGCCAACACTTGGTGAAGCCGGGGTTCTGTTAAGGCACCACTAATGTGCTTCTGCATTGAGACCTATCCTACATTGCGGTTTACTGGATCAATGGAGTATTAGTTTGTGCTTGTTTGAGACTTAACAGCATTCCATCACTCTATCCCTCCCTATTGAAAGTGGGCATTTGATAGGACACCCCTGTTATTTGGCTTTAAACATATCAGGGCATCTCTCTGTCTCATACAAAACGGGTTAGGTTTAGTGGATTCTGATTTTGCAGGATATCTAAGAAGCTGTAGTCTGCGGACAGTAATAAGAAGATATTCCAGAAAATTTACATGCTTTACCACCATGAAAGTTTTGAGTGTGTGCATGCTAAAATATAAATCCATTACAGTGGTGCCTCGCAAGACGAAAAGAATCCGTTCCGCGATTCTTTTCTTCTAGCGGTTTTTTCGTCTTGCGAAACAACCCCATTGGCGGCTAAGCAGATTAGCGCTATTAGCGATTTAGCGCTATTAGCGGCTTAGCGGCTAAGCTGTTAAAAGGCTATTAACAGCTTAGCCGCTTTGAAAAAAGGGGGGAAAAAGCGGGGGGGGGGGAAATGGCGAGACTCGCAAGACGTTTTCGTCTTGCGAAGCAAGCCCATAGGGAACTTTGTCTTGTGAAGCGCCTCCGCGACGGAAAACCCTTTCATCTAGCGGGTTTTCCGTCTTGCGAGGCATTCGTCTTGCGGGGCACCACTGTACAAGACTCACAGCATAAATGTATAGATAGGGCAGGCAGTTAAATCCTATAGGTTGCTAAATCCCATAGGAACTCACTGAAAGCCTATTTAAATAAACATGCTTTACATTGTGCCCCCCCCTGCAAGCTTGGACTCAGATTGGGTCTTCCTTAGTAATACCTTCTCTTTAAGACCTGGACTACAGCTGAGCAGCCATAGCTCCATACTCTAATTAAAGGGATCACACTGAAGACCTCTGTATTTTGTCGCTGGAATTGTCTGCTGGCTGTGCACGTGCCCTTGTGTGAGGTGACATATGCAGGTGACTCGGGAGGTTTCAGCAAAGCCTGCAGTTTGTGTATTGGATATTGTGCAGCTGTGCATATTGGGGTGCTTATGCTGGGGAGGGGTGCCTGCTGGAGCATGTAAGATTCTGCCCACAGGTGTATTAAAGCCCACAGATTTCATCAGGTGTGTGCTGCATGCCGGTGAGATTGAGTATCTTTGCGCTGCTGCCTTTTCCCAGCTGATCAAGGTTTTGCTTATATTGGCTTAGGAGTCTGCTGATCCAGGACATTGTGCATGGCAATGTGGGCTGCTCGAACGACTCTGCCCAGGGTAAGATTCTGATACTGCCCCTTCTGGAAGCCAACGGAGCCTTGCCTCTGCTACCTTGGTCTGGTGCTCTAGGTTGAGAGAATGGATAATGATTCCTTCCTAAGGGGAATTGTTCATCTGTTTCCAACCTTTGCTTGTAAGAGGAGCAAGCTTCCCTTCTTCCCACCCAGACTCAAAGTATGTTTCCCTTAATTAATAGAATATTTTCAGCACAGGGTTATGTAAAATAACAACAGAAAAACCACAAGATTACAGACACAAAGTAGTGCAAATTAAGTAGGACAACATGCATTTCTTTGCATTGTGGGTTTTTCTTTTATCAAAATTATTCTTTCACTCATTGTTTTCGCAGCAGGGTGGAGTAAGGCAGGCATCCCCAACCTGCGGCCCTCCAGAGTTTTGGCCTTCAACTCCCATGATCCCTAGCTAACAGGACCAGTGATCAGGGATGATGGGAATTGTAGTCCAAAACATCTGGAGAGCCAAAGGTTGGGGATGCCTGGAGTAAGGGAATGGGGGAAGAGAGAGCCATGAATGAGGGATGTTTTATGGGACAGTTTTGAATACTAACCACTCACTATAGGGGCTGTGCCTATCCCAACTAAGGGATCTAAGCTTTCTAGAGGCTGCCCTCAAATTCCCTTTATTATCTGTACTTTTAAGGAGCGCTTTCACTTTTAAAAATAAAACAACCCTCCCCAAACCCTTTGGGTGTCCCACCCCCTCAGCTGGAGAGCCCAGAGTGCCTCTTCCAGAGTATTAACTGGCACTCCAGTCTGACACCTGAATTGTTGCGGCTCAGGTAGGGCACCACGTCGGTGCTTACTACATGCGTTTGTGTCTCCTGCAGCCACACCCATGCAGAAGAACCGGACAGTGCTGTGTGGTGATGACGTACTCCTGCCTTGCGAGCAGATGTCCAACCTGGCCCGGGCGACCTGGCTGGTGAACGGCACCAAAGTGCTGGCGGAGGACGGACAGGGCCGCTTCCGCCTCGGGGTAGACGGGCTGCTGGTGACGGACACCCAGCCGGAGCACAGCGGGGAATACCAGCTGCTACGCGGAGGAGAACGGCCTCCAGGCCCTGGTGGCTGCTTACACCCTGAACGTGCTCCCTGAGCGAGTGCCACAGCAGGCATCCACCGTGTCGCACCCGTACTGGCATGCCGCCAGTGCCACTTACGGGGACGTGAGGTTCATCTACATTGCCGTCATCACGCTGCTGGGGGGGCTGTGCCTGGTGCTTAGCGTCGTGCTGCTCTATGTCTCCTGCCTGCAGAAGCGCAGGGGCAAGTACAGCCTGGGGGTTCCCCAGGCGCCCAGCGTGGAGCTGCAGACGGTCTCTTCCAATTGCCTGGGCAAAGTAGAGGACGAGGAGGAGGACCCGGGCACCTACCTAGACGGCTGCCTGCAAATCATCCCCGGGGAAGCCCCCACCGTGCCGTCGCCCTCCAAGGAAACGCTCCCCATCCCACCACCGCCCCCTCCTCCTCTCCCTGCCGAGTTCACCAACGGCATCACCACTTTGCCCAGCATGCTGCGCAAGATGAACGGGAACAGCTACATGCTCCTGCGGCAGAATGAGGAGCCGTGCACCTCTCCGCTCTACAACTCCTTCACAGAGGAGCTGAGCAAGATCTTGGAGAAGCGGAAACACACGCAGCTGGTAGAAAAGCTGGACGAGAGCTCCGTGTAGGGCAGGGTGGAGGGCACAGGGAGCCCACTTTGCTGTGAACTAAACCCCCTAACTGCCCTCTGTGATTCCTCCTCCCCAGCCCAGCAGAGAAACAGTGTTACGACTCAGCAACTACCTCCGGCCGGCCCTCCGGAGCAGCCACAGGCTCCATGCTCATTTCCTTCTCTCTCTCTCTTTTTGGTTGTTGTTTTTTCCGTTGGCGTTGATGGTTTGTTTTCCAATTGCTGTAAAAAAGATCTTATTTAAATGGAATTATATTTATATATAAAAACAATGATCGATAAACAGGAGCCACAGCGATCTGTTGGGTTTGTCTGGGTGGGGTATATCGGAATGTGCCCTTGGCTTGTGTGGGGAATGATGCTGTCAGGCTGGACAGTGGGGTGGTTAGAGGGTGGTTTCCTCCCAATAGTTGCAACGGCCAGAAGGGCATCAGCAGTCATAATGAGGGGACAGGACGTGCAGCTGCCATTTCAAGAGGTAGGTCACAAAACTTCTTTGTTACATCCAAATAATGTCAAATTCAAATCACATTTCAAATACATCTATATAAATAGAATTAGGGGTATTTTTTTCTGAGCATCAGATATAAATGATGGCTATTGGTTAATCCTTCAGAGCTTGGGTTTTCCTTAAATGACATTAGGAGATGCTTTCCGTTCCTTTGGGGTTTTTTAGGCACTATCACAGTCCACAACTTGTCAGTGTTGGCCCATAGCAAATGGTCTCTCTGCTATGGTATTAGAGGGGCTAGGCAGCTGAATGGAGAAACCTTAGCATATCACAACTAATGCCCAATAGCTTCTTTAAAAACAAATTAAACTACGGCTTACAGCCCATGAGATTTTGAATGACACCTTGCTGGTGCAAAATAACTGAGCTGTTTCATCCAAACTTTGCTGTTTGCTTATGTGAACCTGCAGGAAAACAGTGCCCTCTGCTGAAGTTGAATTGCAATTTGTCCATACTCTCTCCTGCTGCCCTGAGAGCAAAGTGTTTGTCTCACTGTCATTTCACCTGTCTGGCAACAGGCCTCCTGCAAGAGTAGTGGGTGAGAGGACAGGTTTCAGTACAACCTTAATAGTCTTTAGAAAGTTTAGTCTTGCCTTCTCCAATGTACAAGAATAGTTGTTTTGCTCCTGGTCTGAACTAGCACGAGTCTCTTGCTAAATCTAGATCATGGTTTCTCCCATCTGAAATTATTATTGCTTTGTCAAACTGGGGTAAGGGGTAAGAGTGACATCCCCTAATACAGTGGTACCTCAGTTTTCAAATGTCTCTATTAACGAACATTTCAGTTTATGAACACCATAAACCCGGAAGTAAATGCTTTGGTTTTTGAACACTCCTCAGAAGTCGAACATGCCACGCGGCTTCTGCTGAGTGCAAGATCTGGAGGCCTAGCTGTCGGAAACCATGCCTTGGTTTTTGAACGTTTCAGAGGTCGAATGGTCTTCTGGAATGGATTACATTCAAAAACCGAGGTACCACTGTATTCACTGTTGTGTAAGGCAGCACCATTCCTAATGGGTGACTAGAGAAATCTCTTTCATAGAGCTCATAATGGTACCCTAAGGACTAATCAAAAGGACCAGCAATGTCTGGCTGTGCACTGCCATGGGCAAGCACAGTGCTGTCTGAGTGACCTGTGGGTGAGAAATGACAGGGAAGCAGGAGTAGAATCTCTTAGCCCAATCCATCTGCAATACAGGGTAAAAAAACCACTAGTCTACATACCACAGAGTTTAGTCTTGTAAGGATATATTTGTGGTGCACTTAAGGAAGTTCTTGTCACTGTCATCGTCTCTCATGATCTTCTATGAGCCTTTAGGAAATCTAATTTATGTGCCATTCACATAGCATTGGTACTGGAGACCTCAGTATAAATATATCATGCATTTCAGACCTAGAGGGAGAGTGCCACAGGCTGCAATGTCATTTATGACATCTTACACAGCCTTGCTTTCAACCCAATGGACGCTTAACACAATTGCTGCTCTTCTCTGCCTTGGGTTCTATCATAGAATTATAGTTGGAAGGGACCTTGAGGGTCATCTAGTCCAACCCCCTGCAATGCAGGAATCTATGATAAGGTTTTCATTTACATATCTGATGGGATTGGGGGAAACTCTCCACCTTCAATCCTCAGAGTTGCCCTTTCCCAGCTCTGTAGTATCCTTTTTGGTGAGACATGCAAATTATACACAATATTCTAAATACGTGCACACTACTGTTTTGTGTTAAGGGCATTAAGATACTTTTATTTTCATTTGGGGCAGGGAGACCCAGTATCTGGCGGCACCAGGCTGGGAAAAGCTGTTTTTAAACTTGTACATGGACCCTCTTTTTACTGTTTTGATGTCAAATCACACCCTTTTTAGAGAGATCCCTTGCAGGGTTCTTTGCAATCTACTTGGGTTTTCACCACTCAGAATAACCTGATGTCATTTGCAAACTGGGGGGTACTGAGAAAGCCATCTGGTGATTATAAAGAAGGCTTCAAGAGCATTTTCAATGCACTCAGATTATACAAGTACAGAAATTTATGAGTGAAAGTTTCAGCACCTTCAGAAACTGCTTTAGTTTTAATAAAAGCAAGTTTCTAGTCTTTGTGACTGCTAATTACATTAATGTTTCTCACACAATACAAAGCTACAGTTTGGTACACACTTCTTCTACACCTTCATTACTTAACCTGAGCATGAGATTTTAATAGCTAATAGTCAAAACATCCAATACAAAGAATCTCTCCTAATAATGGTCTTCTCTCATCAAAAAGAAACCAAACTACATACAAGATAGAACACAAGCATAGGGACAATCCCCTTGATACTGTAAGGGTTGTATACAATGCTTCTTGTATGGAGTTCTGCTCACGCAGTGGGATATCCCCTTTCTATCTCTGCACGCCCTCAAAATCCAAGGTGCTCTTCCAACCCTCTGGGGCAGATTCTGAGTATGGGGCAGGGGACTAGGGCTGCAGGGGAATAAAAAATTCCATTGTGCAAGCACAAGCCTGTTAACAGTAGCAAACGGCATTAAAACAAGGCTCAAACAGGAGAAGGAAGCAAGCCAGGAATTTATTGATCACTGGGACAATACACCAGACAGATTAGGAGGTTGCTGTTCAGAATCTTGAATACTGATGTAATCCTGGAAATAAGTCCCATTGAACAGTGTAGGACCACCTGATAAGTAAACCTGTATACGGAACGTGTGTGTGTGTGTGTGTGTGCGCGCGCGCTGCCCTTCACCCAAAGATCACAGGGTGGTTCACAACATAAAAATATGTTTGCAGATTGCAAGCTGTATCTACTAGTGTAATGCAACAGAAATGGAAATCCAGGAGTTATTTTCATCCCTTTCAAGCAGTTTCTTTATGCTGGTAGTTCAGAGACCTGCCACTGCCATACATCTTATGAAGACTGAAAACATGGCATATGAAGAATATAGGTTGGGTTCAATCTTGCGCTCAGTGGAATTCTGCTTGCACTGGAGAAAGCAGGTGGGGAGGCAGTTTTTACTAACTGCCTTCTCCCTGCGCCCTCCCTCATAATCTGTTCTAGAGGTTTGAGGGATCCCCCCAGAACAGCATGGGAAATGCTCCACTGGATCCAAATTTCTTCCATTAGTAGAAGACATTCATGGAAGGGAATGTCTAGAACCAACCCATTAAGTGCAAAAAGAATTTGTTCTTTCAGCAAAACAACATTCTTGGTCTGCCTACATGCTGTGTCGTCTTCTTCCTTTTGGCCCAGCTTTCTCATTAACTGCAGCTCATGCCAAACTATGAAAGCACTTTCCTGCTCCAATCTCTACTCCTGTTAATGAAACGTCAGTACTTCTAAAATAACATTTTAAGTTCTTGCTTAAAACATTTAAGGACACAGCTCAAACCTCCTAAATGATATACAGTTTAACAGAAATGTAAAATTCAAACTGATCAGAATGCCATAAAATTAATTTTTACTCAAAGTCTTAAGATCTGTTGGACTGGCGTTCCTGAAAATAGAAGTATCACTTGCTGGCATGTTACAAAAGTCCACAATGTCCTGGGAAGCAAAAGTTAATGCTGGTTGCTTCCTCCCCTCGCTAATCAAAGAAGCATTATATCCTTCCCATCGCTGCACAACCCGGTGAAGCTGAAAATGACAAGACACCTTGAACTGTTGCAAAAGGTCCATACTTTGCAAACAAACTGCAAAGGGAATGTAAACAAAGGCAGCAAATGCCCAAAAATATGCCCTGGCCGTACGTAGGGCCATATTACATACTAGTTTAATATACTGAGCTGAAGTGATGGCAAACTCTTCTTTTTAGTGGTATGGCCTTTATGGAAGCCAGGTCATAGCTCTACAACAAATCAAATGCTTTGTGTGTAGGGAAGCTTGAGTTCAATCCTGACCACCTCCAGTTGGATCGGGGGTAGAAGGGCCGGAAAATACTGGTACCTCTGCCTGGGATTCTCAAAAGCTCCTGGCAATCACCTAAGGACCTAACTCAGTTTAAGGCAGCTTCATATTCTTACCCTTATACCAAGGTAAAAATCCCATTTCACGTATGTAGTTTCTTCTGCCAAGACTCTGGCACATGTTGATAATCTATGACAAAATCTCTGAAAGGAACCAGATGAAAACTTGCTTCTGCCAAGCTGCCGGATGCCTTTTTTCTTTTGCTGCCAACATTGCTAATTAATTGATTCAGATTCCCCAGTGCTTTCCATTAAGAGATGGCAGGGGTTTTACAAGGAGGAAGGGTTCTCTTTAATTTATATTTAATAGAAGGGAGGAGAGATGGGGCAACTTGTATAAAGGCAATGGAAAACAGCCACTCAATGTAGACAATGGTGTGTAGACTTGTTTAGAGAAAAGTTCCAGCTGATTTCTACTTGCCTGAATCCCCCCCCCTCTCTCTCTCTCTCTCTGTGTGTGTGTGTGTGTGTGTGTTCAGAATGGTTTGGAAACCAGGTATGAGAATTTCAACTCCAATATCCTAGCCAAACTGCTGCTCAGTGCTAAATGATGTTTGATTTCTAGCATCTCCAAATAAGATGATATCTGGCACTACATCTGAACAACAAAAAAGACCTCCAGCTCAGTCTCTTATGAAATTCCAGTGAATAGGGAGATTTTTATACATTTGCTAATTCAAAGGAAGGGTGGATAACTCATTGTTTCTTTCTGTGCTGGCCAATGAAGTTTGGTAGTGTTCCCACAGGCTGAATGTCAAAGGTAACACTATTTCAGCACAAATTAATCCTTTCTATACTGTATGCACAGTGTGCTGCGCT